CTTCTAAAGCAGAAAGGGAATCAGTGCATATAGCGCCGAGTTGGGGTAAGAAATTGCAGTTTGTATAGCTTGAATAATGGCTATTAGCTCGGCTGCAAATATCGACGTGTAGTGTGGAAGTAGAAAAGGTTTGGTTATGTTGTTATAGTAAATTCCAAAAGATGTGGAGTCTTCTGATTTGAAACCATCGGTGTATATAAAGGAGTGGGAGGGTAATGATTCTTTGATATGGAGAAATATTTGTTGGTATTGTGTTGGTGAAGTTTATGAATTTAATGCCTCATGCAAAGTGGTGTTAGTGTTTGTTTTTTCTTGCCAAGGGGAGACTCTGACTTTAGAAATTGGGATGGGATTGGTTTGGAAGTTTGAGTTCACGAGAAATTTGAAGTGATCGGTATAAAGATGATGCAATTTTTGGTATCTTTTTCTTTATATTTTTTATTAAGTGATTAACAGGAGAGTTTTTGGAGAGCAATATTGTTGGCTGTGTTTGGGTTTCAAAGAGCATTTATGTATGGGTGTGGTTCCGAAAGGTTTTGATTTTATTGATTTGGGAAGCAGGAGCGTAACCTTAAATGTGAATCCCAAAGTCTATTTTCGAGATTATTAAAAGTTTTGTCGCTGTGATTATGGAGAGATGGTTGCAGTTGTATCTACAGGGTGCGCCATCTCTTATGTCGGTATGTAAACATTGAATATCTTTGTAAATAAACAACCGATTTTCAAGTATGAGATATTTTTAGTTAATTTGGTTCTGTACAAGTTCTTCAGACTAATTTTTGAAAACAACATCAATCAAGTGGCCGCCTTTATTGGACACAGCAAAATGTGCCCTTTTTACTGCGTTTTCCATCGCCTTTTCTAGCATTTCAGGTGGTATAGCGATGAAATCATCATGCAGAAATCTGCACGAGCCTTGAGCTCGTCAATGGTTTGAGGCTTGCTGGCGTAAACTTTGCTTTTCAAATATCCCCACAAAAAGAAGTCCGGAGGCGCCAAATCTGGAGATCTGGGTGGCAAATCAATATCACCTTTTTTTGATACCAGACGTCCAGGGAATTTTCGTTGTAAAAACTGAATTGTTTTATTTGCAGTATGGCATGGCGCACCGTCTTGTTGAAACCAGTAACCGTTCAGACCTTTTTCACTCATTTGCGGGCAGACATAATGAGCCAACATCCACCGATATCGATTCCCATCAACTGTTTCGCCTTCTTTGAAGAAAAATGACCCAATGATGGTTTTGGCGCAGACACCGGCCCAAACAGTCACTTTTTGATCATTGTGTGGATTTTCCGTTCCCCAAATGCGGCAATTTTGTTTGTTAACGCCGCCAGAGAGTGTGAAATGGGCCTCGTCAGTCATCAAAATTTGCTTCCAAAAATCAGGTTCAGTGTCAACCATTCGAGCAACTGGCCGTATTCCAAGCGACGTGGACAGACTGTCGGCAAAATTCTTTGAGTTAATTGCACTTTGCACAAATGCAAATCGTCCTTTAAAATGCGCCGCAAAGTGGTTCCACTGACGTTAAAATGCTGAGCACGGTGGCGATACGACACATTTGGGTCCTGGGAAACACTCTCTCTTACCATTTCAATCAGTTCATTGGAACGTCTTGGTCGTTGATGATCAACATGTGGACGAATAGTGTTGTCAGATGGTGCCTGTTTGTCGCGATATTTTCGACGATATGCACGTTGAGTTAACACAACTGAACGACTATTTTCAATGTAAAGCGTCACTATTTCAGCGCGTTCTTTCGGAGTGAAGCGATTCATGATTAAAATTGTGCTGAACTGGTGTTCTCAAGTCAATCGGTTCACTAATGACAAAGTTATTCAATATTTACATACCGACATAAAAGATGGCGCACCCTGTATTGTTTGAGAGACATTTAATAATATCTAAGTGTGAGCGCTACTAAAAGGTAGGTGATGTGAATGGACCAGGTGTATCTATTGTTTATTGTTAATCCTAGAATTTTTACGTGGCATGATTTTTTCCTGCAGATATATAGGTGCTTGCATTTTGATATGGAAAGTTGTGCGCCTGAATAATCACACCATGATAGAATATCTGACATTAGATTGTCGGCTTGAATGGATGAGTTTTTGTTAAGTTTTTTAAAAACATGGTAATCATCTGCATAAGCGAGAAAGTTAAATTCCTTGTGTCTACTTATTGTTCTATTAAGTTTGTTATAGGCGATTAGGAAGAGTATGACAGAAAGGGGTGATCCTTGAGGAATGCCATTCTGCAGAGGTTGTGTTGAGGAAAACTGGTTATTGGCATAAACCACTATTTTCATGGAAGACATGAAGCTTATGATATAATTTAATATTTTGAGGCCAATATTCCAGGACTAAAGTTCATCGATTACCGAATGTAGCCCAACTTTATCGAATGCTTTTGTGAAATCCAGTGATATGATGGAGATGTGGTTTTTAGTTGAAAGAGATGATGATATCAAGTAGTCTAAGGCTAGTAGACATCTGATATTGATTTCCCTTTCCTAAATTGTGAAATCCAGTGATAGATGGAGATGTGGTTTTTAGTTGAAAAAGATGATGATATCAAGTAGTCTAAGGCTAGTAGACTATCTGATATTGATTTCCCTTTGCTAAATCCTGTCTGTCGACTATCTATTGATTTGTTTAAAAAAAAAAAACCACCATAGTCGATTGGCTATGATTTTGTCGAGAGTTTTGGCGCAACAAAAATTAACGAGATGGGGCGGTAGGAATTGAAGCTGGTTTTGTCGGAATTTGGTTTGTTTAATGGGACTATTTTGCTTAAATTGTAATTTTGGGGATTGAAGGTATTAAGTTGAAGTGCCTAAGCAGACGAGATTTAACTGAAGGATGTAGGTTTTTTAACATTGGGTAAGAGATTCGGTCTAAGCTTGCCGATTTCCCTTTTAATTTGGCAAGTGCCAAATTAAGTTCGATAAGGGTAAATTTTGGTGTTATTATTGGGGGATCGTTGTTATTGAAAAGTGTGATTATTTATTTATTTATATGATTCGATATTCCATAAGGAGTGAAGAGCAAGAGCAAGAGCAAGAGCAGGGGTCGAAAATGTAAGGTCTATGTGAGTGAATGTGTTGTGTGTGCTAAAATATGTAGGGGATCCATTATTAAGTAATATTAAGGGGGAAACACTAAGAAATTTAAATATGATGTTGCCTTTTTATACCCTGTACCCAAAGGGTGAAAGGGTATACTAGTTTTGTGCGAATGCATGTTACAGGCAGAAGGAGGCGTGGCAGACCCCACAAAGTATATATATTCTTGATCAGGTCGAGAAGACGAGTCGATATAGCCATGTCCGTATGTCCGTCGTCCGTCTGTATGAACGCAAGGATCTCAGAAAGTATAAGAGCTAGAATAACCAAACTTGGTATACAGATTCTCCTGAGCCCGAGAAAGGACGAGTTTGTTCACTTTTCCCGATGCGACCCCCACTCCCCCCTATTAACGATTTTCTATAACTCCCGTAATTCTTGGAATTTTAAACTAAAATTTTAGACACATCCAGTTAGTAATTATATATCCGTATACCAAGTTGCATTATGATAGGTTGATCAGAAAGAAAGTTATAGCCATATAATCATGCCCAATGCACGCATACATACATATGTACAAGTACACAAACACGCATAGACACGATTCTGATGTAAATGTAAATGTATGTATGCATGTACGGAATATTTATACCCTATATAATAATATAATAGTTTTGTGAGAGTGTACATGGATCACACAGAAGGAGGCGTGGCAGACTCCACAAAGTATATATATTCTTGATCAGCGGGACAAAGTCGGGACACCCGACTTTAGCTTTTTTACTTGTTTTTATTTGCAATCTGTCCGATTGAACAATCAGCAAATTATTATGAAACAGCATTGGCATTAAAATTTTGTTTACTGCGTGACTTAGCGTGGTGGGTTGATAGGTCGCTCAATGTGGACTCTGCTCAGCCTGGTAATCTCCTGGTGAACCCATAGGTCTCCGAGATCGTTATGAATATCCACGTTTGAGTGAAATAGGTGCACATTGGAGATTATTTTGGTTTATTTTGGAACTTTCGTATGTTGTTAAGTCCATGTTGTCGGCATAGGTGGTCATCAGTCTTTTATCCGATATGATAGTCATGTCGGTGGAATAGTGTCTAGACGACTGGGACCAGTACGCTTCCCTGAGGAACTCCGGCTCTGATGTCTCTTATGTCGGATCCTTCATCTTAGAGCTTCAAGAAGACCTTTCTGCTCTTGATGTAAGATCTTAGCAATCTGTAGTATGGTGCTGGTTGGGCAATCATCAGCTTGTAGAGCAGTCCAGTGTGCCATACTCTGTCAAAGACTTGCTTGACGTTCAAGAAGACTGCCGAGCAATATTTCTTCTCATCGCAAGCTTCCTGAATTTTCTTGACAATCCTATGGCATTGTTCAGGTGTGCCAGATATTGTCTGAAATCATACTTGTGATCCGGGATGAAACGGGCCTCCTCCCGTATTGGTCGGACTCTACGCAAAAATAATCCCTCAACTACTTTGGTAAAAACCGCCAATAAGCTAATCCCAGGTTTTTTTATTATGATGATTTCTGCGCATTTCCTAGTTGGAAACATTTGACGCCTTGAGCTTTCCGATTTCGGAGATTAATTTATCTGACCCGACAGCAGGGATAGTGAATTCCATTTGGCAGGGCACGTCAATTAACTCGGAAAAAAAAATTCTTTACACAATTTAGGTCTGTGTTTGTCTGGGTTTTGCAATTTAGTTACATCACTGGATGCAATTCCTATATTTAGCTTGCTGATTTCTTAAGATACAACCGATTCTATTCTAACAAAGGGACCACTATGCACCCTGCGTTTGCTACGCAACTCTTTTACAAAATGTACTATAATTATATTTTTTAAATTATATGATCATTCTTACAGCACACGTATGTATTATTCAGTTAGTTTTTGTTATATTAAATAACTTTTATTTTCAGGTACTATGATATGTGCCTATCTCCTATATAGTGGGCTACAGAAAACTGCTGACGAAGCATTAGCTTGGTATGATGAAAAACGTACGAAAGATCGTAAAGGTGTGACAATTCCTTCACAACGTAGATATGTCCAGTATTTTTCTCATTTAATCTGTTCAAGTGTTCCATATAAAAAAACTAGCCTACACGTACGTATTCTGTAAATAAGAAATTTTCGAAAACGATTTTATAACAGTTTTACTTTTAGGTATCCCAAATTCGATTTGAGGAGGCTAGATGCCTTTATGGCCTTGGCACCTTACAATGTTCATTATCAGTTTTAGTGGACTCAACAACGGAAAAAGTGAGGACACAAGTACGTATTATTAACATGCTATATATAGTTTATATAAACAAGAAACGAATGCTAAAGTCGAGCAGGCTCAACTCTTAAATACCCTTTACAAACCCAAAGAAAAAAAATTTCATTAATTTAATTAATTAATTAAATTAAATATAAAATATTCCATACAAGGGTCTTTGGACCACATATTTAAAAAAAACAAGTCGGATGTCCCGACTTTGAAATACTCTGTACATATGTTTACAATAATTATAGACAATAAAAAAAATTAAGAAAATTTAAAAAAACATTTTGATAGATTTTACCTCTCTCGGTATTCGAACTCACGCAAAGGGTGTATAATTACACAATTGCGTCTGTGTGAGTGTATGTATGCCTATGCGCATCTATTCGTGTCTGTGTAAACATGTTAGCAAATATATTTATAGCTATAGCTTCTTGTTAAATCTATCATAGTGAAACTTGGCATACGGACACATAATCTCTCACTGGGTGCATTTGCAAAAATTTTTAATTCGAAATTCCAAGAATCAAAGGAGTTAGAGAAAATCACGATTTGATTATGTGAGTTCGAATACCGAGAGAGGTAAAATCGATCGAATTTGTATAGCCTGTACCCAAAGGGTGAAGGGCTATACTAGTTTTGTGCGAATGTATGTAACAGACAAAATTAGGCGTGGCAGACCCCACAAAGTATATATATTCTTGATCAGGGTGACAAGTCGAGTCGATATAGCCATGCCCGCCTGTCCATCCGTCTGTATGAGCGCAAAGATCTCAGAAGGTACAAGAGCTAGAATGTCCAAACTTGGTATCCAGGTTCCCCTGAGCCCTAGGCGGGTCAAGTTTTTTTTTTTTTTTTTATTCTGATTCCCCCGCAATTCGTGTTTTTTATAACACCCGTAATTCTTGGAATTTTGAACTCAAATTTGGCATATACAAGGTGTGTTCCAAAGAAATCCGGACTTTTTAAAAAAAACAGAACAATTGGTTTTTTTCGGCCAATTCAATTTATTTTATTCAAAAAAGTCTCCTTCTGCTTCAATACAGCTTTTTGCACGATCCAAAAGCATGTCGAACGAGTGTTTTAGCTCGTTGGCCGGTATGGCCGCCAGTATGCCGGTGCAAGCCTTTTTAAGGGCCTCTACAAGCCTCTACAAGGGCAAATGCATCTTTCCGAAAAGGTAGAAGTCGCACGGTGCCATATCAGATGAATACGGCGAGTGGTTAATGGTTAAAATATGATTTTTGGTCAACTAATCGGTCACAAGCGTCGATCGTCTGAGCAATTTTTGGTCGTCAGTCAATTTGTGCGGAACAAACCGTGCACACACCTTTCGTAAGCCCAAATGTTCGGTCAAAATGCGATAAATCGATGTTTTGGAGATATTCAATTCAATTTCCATTAATTTCAATAATGATTTCGGCTGATTTTTGATTCATTCACCTACAGTTTCGATGGAATTTTCGGTGATCACGAATTTTGATTGGCCCACATGTTGATCGTAATTTATGTCCTCACGACCACTTTGAAAACGTTGAAACCACTCGTGCACTCTGCACATATAGATTGCGCCACCAGGGGGCGCTAGATTCAAAAAGTCTTTGGCAATTAGCATTACCAATTCATTTATTTAATATACAACGAATATTTAACTTATTATAATTACGTTGATGCTGCCGTTCGTTCGCTACGCGGTAATCCCAGATATCGCCTCTCGTTGATATCGATCTCGATAGCCAACAACCTTATTTTGGCGTTACCACAGCTACCCCCTCCCCAGTGACCGAGTTGGGAGCGAAACTGACTTTGCGAGTGTTCGAAAATGTGCGCAACACTTTACGGTTGTGTGAGATATGAGTAGTGTCATCAGTCTTCGGGACAAAAGCCGACTTGAGGCGTTCCGTTGAAATAGCCACATCGTTGCCGTTAATTTTTATGACAAACACACGATCTGTTGGACGCCCGACCACTTCATATGGCCCCGAATAGGGTGGTTCCAAAGGTTCTCGCACAGAGTCGGTTCTCAACATGACGTAAGAGCAATCATCCATATGTTTGAGCACGAACTTACTTTTGTCTTTGCTCAAATGATGCGCTGCTGAAACTGGTCGAATCAAACGCATATGCTCTCTAAATTTTTCAATAAAATCCTTTGGGTGAAGTGGTTTTGACATGTCGTCATAAAATTCGTTTGGGAGACGAACACTTGTTCCATAGAGCATTTCAGCCGTTGATGTACCCAGATTTTCTTTGTAGCATGTTCTAAGACCGAGTAAAACTGTTGGCAAGAGCGCAAGCCAAGATGTTTCTGGTGTACGCATAAGAGCAGCTTTAAACGAACGGTGCCATCTTTCAATCATTCCATTTGATTGATATGCCGTCGTGTGTATGCGCTCACTACCAACCAAATCGCATAATGCTCCAAAGAGCGCGGACTCAAATTGTGAGCCTTGGTCTGAAGTTATCGTCTTGGGACAGCCAAACCGTGTGATCCAATTTGACCAGGACATCGAAACTACCGTGTCAGCAGACATGTCTTTCAAAGGGACCGCTTCAGGCCATCTGGAGAACCGATCGATCATCGTCAAACAATAACGGTATCCATCCACCATAGGCATAACGACTATGTCTAAATGTACATGGTCAAAACGGTTATCAGGCATTGCGATTTTATCTGGCATCATTTTGTTATGACGATGGATTTTAGCACGTTGGCACGGCAAGCAATTTCGTGTCCACAATGATACGTCCCTCTTCATAAGGGGCCAAACATACTTGCGGTGTATCTGCTGAATAGTGGATCGGCTGCTCGGATGGGAGACATTATGGGCGGCAGCGAAGACACAATGGCGCAATGGTTGTGGAATGTACGGTCTAAGTTCTCCAGTTGATATGTCGCAATAAACCGAAACATTTTTATCAAATTTGATGCGCTGCAGTTTAAGGCTAGTGCTACCTTGTAAAAGATCCTGTAGATCGCTGTCGTTCTTCTGTGCTTCTTCTATTTTATCGAGTGTCATTGCTGTGGGCATTGAAATGGCATTTAAGCGTGATAATGCGTCGGCCACTGTGTTATTTGAACCAGATACATGCATTATATTCGTGGAGTATTGTGAGATAAAATCGAGGTGTCCAAGCTGGCGGGGTGAAGCTTTCGCAGGCTTCTGAGAGAAGGCATACATTATCAGCAGGATGTGATACAACGGTGGCTTCTGCTACGGAACGCTTACATATCTCAAAAGCTTTTGTTGCATCCAAAGTCCAATCAATTAATCTCTTGTCATTCTTTTTCATACCACGACAAATTTCGCTAAGTGGTGCAGATGCATTGCGAATTCATCGTCGATAATAATTAACGATGGCCAGGAATCGGCCAAGTTTGCAGACTGTTTCGGGTCGATTGTAGTTAATGATGGCATTGATTCGATCTTCTGTCGTATTCCGTTTTCGTCAATGGTGTAACTTAAAAATTTTACTTCTGGCTTGGCGATTCGACATTTTTTTGCATTAATGCTCAAACCATTATTTTGAAGTATGGAGAAAACCGTCAGTAAGTGTTGTTCGTGTTCATCTGGAGTTGCTGATATGATCAGGATGTCGTCTATATAACAGTAGACAAAATCGATGCCCCTAAATATGCTGTCCATAAAACGCTGAAATGTTTGCGTTGCGTTTTTCAGACCGAAAGGCATATAGAGAAACTCTATGAGCCCAAATGGTGTGCATACGGCGGTTTTTTTGATATCCCCATCGGCCATCGGAATTTGGTAATAGGCGCGTACCAAATCAAGGGTCGTGAATATAGTTTTGCCATGAAGCTTTTCCGCAAAATCCTGAACATGTGCTACTGGATAGCGGTCGGGCACCGTTATAGCATTAAGTTTACGACAATCTCTACAAGCTCGCCAACCACCATTTCGCTTGGAAACCATATGAAGAGGGCTGGCCCAACTACTCTTGGATGGGCGACAAATGCCTTGGTCGAGTAGAAAATTAACCTCCTCTTTGGCGGTATCCAGTTGCGCGAACCAAAGCTCTGGATTCGACTTGTTAAACTTTGGAACGTGCACACGCTGTGAATTTGAATATGAGCCTACCTGTTGCATTACGGCAGCACTAATTTGTTGCATGATGTTCTCCATGGCATCCAATTGAATTTTAAGATCCTCAGATGCCATAATGTTTTCGTTGGTTTCAAAAAAATGATCATCGTCGACGATTTCGCTTGGATGTTGTTGCCCGCTGCGTAAATTATATCGCTGCATTTGTGGCGTCACTTTTTTGTCAGTCTGTCGTGTATGTTGCCAAGCGAGAATTATTGTTATGTTGTGGCGCTGCTACAGATTATAATTGTATATTATTGTAATAACAAATATTCATCACGTCGGGGTCACCACTTTGGCAATTAACATTACCAATTCATTTATTTAATATACAACGAGTATTTAACTTATTATAATTACGTTGATGCTGCCGTTCGTTCGCTACGCGGTAGTCCCAGATATCGCCTCTCGTTGATATCGATCTCGATAGCCAACAATCTTATTTTGGCGTCACAAGTCCTGTTTACTTTGGAACGCAATTCTTCAATTTTGAAGAAAGTTATAGCCGCTGCAGCTGTTGTTGTTGTTGTTGTTGTTGCTGCTTTGGTTCAACTTTGTCCTGCATACATACACGCATATTTTATTTATTTATTTATGTCAACAAACATGGCTGTCTACATAGGAGAAAAATATGTTAGGATTATAAAAATCATCTTATAATCTAGAAAAGCCTAAGAAGTAAAAATCTAATCAAATTACAATAATATCTAATATCGACAGTGTAATACCCTGTTTACCTGGTAAACTTCCGTCACTGAGTCATATGAGGAAGAAGAAGAGCGAACTCGTTGTTGCAGTTTAGGGGGGTTGCACTGGAGAGAATTTGTTTCGCTAATAACTTTTCTTAGAACTCACCGAATTGAAAATTTTAAACAACAGTAGATAATTATATATAAATTATGTGT